AAAGCCACTGGAGTGTTAGGCCAACTTCTTTCCTCCTGCTTTCCCAGGAGGAAGCAAAGTAGAACCTCAAGAGAGTGGGAGGCCAAGCAAGCTCAGGTATTTCATAGAATCATAGAATCCCAGACTGGTCTGGGTTGGAAGGGACTTTAAAGATCATCTAGTTCTTACCCCCTGCATTGGCAGGGACACCTCCCACCAGCCCAGGTTGCTCCAAGCCCCATCCAACCTGCCCTTCAACACTGCCAGGGATTGGGCTTCCACAATTGCTCTGGGCAACCTGGGCAAGAGGGTTTCACCACCCTCACAGTGCACACTCATGTACAACCTCAATCTCCCTCTTCCAGTTTTAATCCATTCCTCCTTGTACTCTCACTCCCTGCCCTTGTCCCAAGTCCGTCCCAGGCTTTCCTGGAGCCCCTTCAGGCACTGGAAGCTGCTCTAAGGTCTCCCTGGAGCCTTCTCTTCTCCAGGCTGAACACCCCAACTCTCCCAGCCTGTTTCCATAGGAGAGATGTTCCAGCCCTTGGATCATTTTTGAGGCCTTCTCTGAACTTGCTCCAAGATGAAATCTTTGTAAGGGACTTTAAAGATCATCTAGTTCTTACCCCCTGCATTGGCAGGGACACCTCCCACCAGCCCAGGTTGCTCCAAGCCCCATCCAACCTGCCCTTCAACACTGCCAGGGATTGGGCTTCCACAATTGCTCTGGGCAACCTGGGCAAGAGGGTTTCACCACCCTCACAGTGCACACTCATGTACAACCTCAATCTCCCTCTTCCAGTTTTAATCCATTCCTCCTTGTACTCTCACTCCCTGCCCTTGTCCCAAGTCCGTCCCAGGCTTTCCTGGAGCCCCTTCAGGCACTGGAAGCTGCTCTAAGGTCTCCCTGGAGCCTTCTCTTCTCCAGGCTGAACACCCCAACTCTCCCAGCCTGTTTCCATAGGAGAGATGTTCCAGCCCTTGGATCATTTTTGAGGCCTTCTCTGAACTTGCTCCAAGATGAAATCTTTGTAATGGATGCTAAAACACTGGGTTTAAAAGGGATCCGAAACCCTGCACCCCTACTTCATGCCAGCTTAGGGGTGAGACCCTCATCTTCCTGCTACAGGTCCATGTCCAAGCACCACCACTCAGGGCTTTCCATGAGCACTAAATCCCAAATCAAACTAAATCCCAAAGGCATCAGCTGTGGAAGCAGCAACTGGCAGAGCTGGGAGCTCACTGAGCAAGGGGGTGTTGGAAGGAAAGATGGGCTGGCCCCAGCCTGCCAAGTCCTGAGGGACAGAAACAAGGGCAACCATGGGGAACTAACCCCCAGGCACGTGTTTCTAGCAGGGAAACTCATTGCTCTGGAAGCTGCTGTTTGTTTTAGACCTGTCACAGGTTTTTTCAATACCAGCACTGCCAGGATTCTGCTGACAGCCTCAGCCACATCCTTCTGCTTCAGCAATTTTCAAGGTTTAATAAAGCTGCTAATTGCTGGGGCAGGAGGGCAGCGGGGCCAGGAGCCACGTTGCAGCTGGTCTCTAGGGACAGCCAAAAGCAGCTGAGATTTCCCTGGATGTCCAGACCCTGTTCCCAGGGAGCTACTAGGTTGGTTTCCCACCACTCCAGATTGGTTTCCCACCACTTCTGAGTTGGAAGTTTCCAGGTCAATTTTCTCTTATGTCTTGAACTTCTTGAAAAATGGACATTTTTGAAAATTCCAATGAATAGGAACAGGGTTCACACACACACACACACACCAAAAAAAAGTAATTTCTTTATTTCTTCAGTAGAGTTGGGTTAATGTTTGGACACAATGATCCTGAAGGTCTTGTCCAACCAGAACAATTCTGTGCTACTGTGATTCCATTAGCAGCACCAACTGATATTTCCATGTCCCATAAGACTTTGGCCTCATCTGCTTCATTTTCTCTGGGCTGCCTTGGAGCTTGTAACTCACATCTCTTCTCCTACTTCCCACGGACCCCCCTGAAACCAGCTCCCTCCTGTTTTCCAGGTCCTGAGCAACGAGAACAAGCTGACCCTGAAGTCCGTCCGCCAGGAAGATGCTGGGAAATACGTGTGCCGAGCCGTGGTGCCGCGGGTCGGTGCCGGGGAGCGGGAGGTGACGCTCACTGTCAATGGTACCTCCTGCTTTCCTCTTGCTGTTCCACCCTCCTGGTATTCCCCTTGCTCTGAAAGCTTGTTTTGCTGAACTAAGAGCAAATCCCACCCACAGCTGGATCGGGGAGGGTGATACAAGTAAATTGGAGTTTGCCTGTTGATGCATGGGTTGAAGCACAAAAATCCAACCTTATCCAAGACCTGCTTGGTTCCTTATTATCAACAGGGGTTTATTGAGTAGTTGGGAGCTGGTGTCTTTAAATCTTTAATAGATTTCTCTTGCAAAACCCCTGCAAGGTCGGGGAGCACTGTTTTCTCTGTTGTACAGAGAAAGATGGGAATTGAGCCTGGATCCAAGACCAGCAGCCTAATCAGTCCTGCAGAGTCCTCGTGAAGATATCTGTGAGAGACAGCAGGGCTGTACAGCTTCTCCACAGATCCTCAGGGCTCCCCCAGCATGGCTGGGTCCTGGACTCTCACCCGGGAGCTGGGAAGCACTCCAGAATTTAATAATGACCTAGCCAGGACCCCAATAATGAATTTCAGTCTAGATATGGAGGGAAAAGTGCCAGGCAGCTGCGGATGGTGTGAACAGAGCATGAATTTTCCATTGCCTCTCACCTGCATGACAAAGCGACAGGCTTCAGTCCCTGCTCACTGGCACAAAGCGAAGAAAATATGCAGCACACGCATTAATTTTCAATGCAGGTAATGCTAGAAAGGGAAGCCAAGGGCAACACAGCAGGGGACTGAAAACCAACCACCCCCTTGACTTCAGCTCAGCTCCTTGCTGCCTGTGCACTCCTTCCCCAGCAGCTGCTGGGTTTTAATTACAATTAAAGTGGCTTGTGGAAAACAAAGCAACAAATTAGCAGGAACAAAGAACCTGCTCCTTTCCTGACACCCAGCAGGCGCGTGGCTGCCTCCAACGCCAAGCAAAGTGCTCAGCAGGCTCGAGGCTGTTGGGAGTGGGTGGCAGGGAAGAGCTTCTCTCAAGGGCTTTGCAGCTCAAGTTACCGTGAAGGTTTTTGCCTTGCAGAGCTGGTGGGGGACAAAATTAAATGAGGGCCATGAGGTTCACTCTCAGCTCCCAGGAGCCAGTCCACTAGGATGTGCTGCTGGGGGATCCACTGCTGGGGTGCAGTGCAAGTGACACGTTGGGACGCGCCGTCATGGGCATTGGACCCTACACAGAGGGAGAATCCCACACCTCCAGGTGGACGTGACCCTCCAAGCTAGGTGAACCAAAGTGGGCAAGTCCCAGAGCAGCATCCTCAGGTCCAATGTCCAGCAAGCCTGCCTGCAGCTGGAGCAGCTCTCCAAACCCAGGAGCACAGCACAGTGTGTCTAATCCAGCTAATGAATTCTGCTGGAAGGTTTTTCCGCTGCAATTTGCGAGGGAAGTTGAACACTTCCTATTTTCAAGTGATTTTAAATCAAGTGATTTTAAATCAAGTGATACAATTGTCTTAGCATCACCAGGTGCTTTCCTCCGTGAGCTGGGATTCATCACAGTAAAATTAGGTGTTTACAAGTGTCTGTTCCGGGCTGGCTGTGCGGACCGAGGGGCGCACGTGGGCTCCAAAGGGGCTGATCCAGCCCATCCGCTCTCAGAGCAGTCAGGAGTCGTAGCAGCACCATACTGGTTTGGGAGAGCATCTTCCTGCCTTCCTTACTGGCCAGGGCTGCAGATGCAAAGAGGAGCTGGCAGCCCCAGCATGAGGCCACCAGCCTGAAAGGAGCAGATATGATTCAGTAACAGGGAAAGGAGGATTATGCAAATCAGCAGCACTTGGCAGGACTGGAGCAGCAGAGGCAAGAAGGCAGTGAGGAACATAAATTATATGCCATCATAAATTAGCAGCAGCTGGATTTATGGCCCATGCCAAAGTCTCTTGATGTTCCTCACTGCACACAAGCCTGGCTGGAGGTCCCACCCTTGGGGTAGAAGCACGCCAAGATCACCCCCACAGCTGTGTGGTCTGTTGATGCTTGGCAGGGACCACCACCATTGTCCATCCTGCTCCTCAACAAAGGTTTGGTAGAAGGACTGGACAACCCTGTGTGGCTAATTCAGGATTTTATTTGCCTGGGATTCACCCCAAGAAGCCAGCCAAGCCTGCTGGAGAGCTGGGAGCACAGGAGGAGGTGACCTGCCACGCTGCTTGGTCAGGAGAGCATCACTGAGGGCTTCACCAAGCGACCACTGCTTGTGGACGGGGACCTTGGGATGGTCCCTTGCCATACGGGACAGAACAAACCAGGTCAGGGTTTCTTAAGGAAGCAAGGAGTTAAACCCAACTCACATTCCCAAGCCTGCCAGGGCTGGGGAGGAAAGGTGCAGGCTGGAGAAGCCAAGGCCATCCCTCCATTCCTCCAGGGCTCCCGAGTCAGGGAGCTGCCTTCTCCTCCGTACGAGCCGCCGGGACCATGCAGATAAATTGGCACCGGGGTGCTAAAAATAACCCACGACCAAGAGCTCCATCATTTATATCCATAGCAACATGGTTTAAAGCCTTTTCCCTGCCTGTGGGCTGTCTGGCACGGAGCACTGAACGCCAGGCTGGAGATTGGCAGCTTTCAGAAGGAGCCTGAGCCCGGTGGACAATCAAACACCAGCCTCAAACGTGAAGAGGCTGCAACTTCACACTATTATTTCTGGGCATGTTCATCTCACAAATGGTCTTTAGTCAGAGGCTATTATCATGATGATAAGCCTCGAGTCTGAACTCCTCAAGCAATAATAAAACCCAAAGTCGTTGGCATTTGTGCCATTTAAAATCCACTCTCCTTGGGGAAAATGATCCTTTTAATGATTATTAAGCCATTTTTCTCCAACATCACCCTGTCTTGGAGGGCTGCCAGAATTTCTAAGTAACAGAAAACCACTGCAAGAGACAAAAGATGTGGGGGTTGTTTTTATTATTTAAGCTTGGCCTACACCTCTCAACGCTGCTCTTGCCTCTGTTGGCCTTGGGTTCGTGGATGTCACCTTGGAACTTCATAGGGAAGGAAGGATAAGGGTGGGAAGTGGGAAAGTTTGGTGCAGAAGCCTGTTTTTGGGATAATTTCAATACGCAACTTGATGGATGGATGGATAGATGGATGGATGGATGGATGGATGGATGGATGGATGGGTAGGCCAGAGTGAAGAACTCAGCATTTTGGTACATTTATGTGCATTCTGCAAAATCCTAAATGGGCAATTGGGATGAGAATCAGTCCAAAATACCCTGGTGAACCAGTTTCTCCCCATTTTACCCCAAATCCCTGAGACTTTTCTTCAAGGAACACATCAGCTGCAGGGGGATAGGGGAAGAAAAATTGGGAAAAGTTCCTCAAATCCACAAAGGATGGATCAAGGGAAGAGAGGTTGAGCACAGCAGGTTCTCCCACTCTGACCATCCCAGAGAGCTGGTCTCAAGGCCCAGTGGAGTTTTTCCCCAGCAGTATGTTGGCCTCTTGTGACATCTCCTGTCACTTTGTATGGTCAGTACAGAGCCTGTTGGTGTTGGCACATGCAGGTGGCCCTGATGGCAAGGCTGGATTTTTGGACAAACCCTTTTCTCCCAACTGTGTCTTCAGGATGTCCACCAAGGCAGGACAAGAACACTTCCCATCACAAGCTGGTGCGTTCAGCCTCGTGTGGCTCAGGAAGAGCCTTTCCCAGCCAGGCTGAGATTCTTTGGCATCTCAATGGTGCAGGAGAGCCCAGTTGATGGGATCCCAAGGATTTTTCCAGCAGAAATATCTCCACCACACCAAGCAGGCTGACTGCAAGTCACTGGTGTAGGTAGCAGCTACTGCTTCTTCTGCCCTCCCTCCCTGGGGAGCAATTAGTGGAATGGTCACTTAATTAATCTGGGAGAGGGTAGAAGAGGGCTCCTCTTTGGCTTCTGGAGCAAAAGCATTTCTCAGAGGCCATGCTTAGCAAGGAGGTTGCCACAAGGTCATGTAGTCACCATCCCAAAACCAGGAATATGGGAGCAGAGATGGCGACGCACCGGTGTTGTGGGTAGGGGCAGACCTTGCAGAAAGCCAGTCCCTTGAATTGCAGCCAGCCTTGTGAGATGTCTGCAGCCCTCTCCTCTCTCCTGCAGGGCCACCCATCATCTCCAGCACCCAGACACAGCACGCCCTGCATGGCCAGAAAGGGCAGATCAAGTGCTTCATCCGCAGCACCCCGCCCCCCGACCGGATTGTGAGTAACATCCCATGGGGGCAGCACCTCCTGGGGCACAATGCCCCCTGGGGCACAGGGGGCATTTCACACACCTGAGGGTGCCCTAGGCTGGGCAAACCTGACCCCTCTCTTCCTTGGCAGGCTTGGTCCTGGAAGGAGAACGTCCTGGAGTCAGGGACCTCCGGGCGCTACACGGTGGAGACAGTGAGCACAGATGAGGGTGTCATCTCCACACTGACCATCAGCAACATCGTCCGGGCTGATTTCCAAACCATTTACAACTGCACAGCCTGGAACAGCTTTGGCTCTGACACCGAGATCATCCGGCTCAAAGAGCAAGGTGGGCATTGCTGAGGAGCCAAGGGCACCTGGGAGGCAGAAGGAATTAGCACCTGTAAGAGTGGGGAGATGCTGTGAGAAGCAGGTGATGCTCAGAGAAGCTCTTGGGTTGTCAAAGAGGAAACTAAGTAGGGCAGTGGAAATGCTTCTCGTAGGATTGTATCCTTAGGCTACCTGGTCCTGGGAGAGGGTCAGGAGGTGGGACCAGCTCTGCAACGTTGGGTGTTGCCCCACCTTGCCCATCTTGCTGAAGCTGGAGGGCACAGGCCAATCCTGCACCCCTTGGCACAAGGAGATGCCACCACCACAGCCTGCAGGATCATTTATAGCCTTGGAGAAACAGGAATGACTCTGCTGCCCGACCCCACCACTCCGGGGTGGTGGGACTGAGTGGATGGAAGGTCTTTGGGCTGGTGCCAACCACTCTGGCCCACAGGCCAGCAAGCCTGCAGGATCATTTATAGCCTTGGAGAAACAGGAATGACTCTGCTGCCCGACCCCACCACTCCGGGGTGGTGGGACTGAGTGGATGGAAGGTCTTTGGGCTGGTGCCAACCACTCTGGCCACCAGTCCAGCACGTTTTGCAGGGCTGGCCTGCCCACCCAGCCTCAAAGGTGCCTTGAGCCACTCTCAGGGGTTGGACAGGGGCTTCTCACTCTTGGGGACCTCCGTGGCAAGGGAGGGAGTTGGCTCTTCTGAGGAGTGCTTGGCTCCTGGAGGGACTCCAGTTCCCTTCTATTTTATTAAATGCCAGGGCAGGCAGGTGGATTGTTCTCATTAGGCCGTGATTTATAGGCGAGTCTGCTGTCCAGATTAAATCAGAGCTAAATGAACCCCTTCAAATTAGCCTTGAGCTTCTTCCAACGCAAGCAGGGAGCCAGTGGCTGTTCCAGGTTGCCTGCCAGGCAGCGGGAATGCCCAGCGGCCCCTGGAGGGGGGCAGGTCAGAGCTGCCCGTGGCCAGGCTGGCCCAGATCTGAGCACCCCTGCTGGGAGATGCAAAGGGGACACCCCAGGGACACCATAGGGTGGCCGAGGAAGCCGTAGGGTGGCAGAAGGACAGTCCCCTTCACGGGGAGATCCCTGTGCCCGGCGCAGAGGGCAGAGCACTCCGGAAGGCTGGCGTGGGCACCTGGGCCCTGCCAGGCTGTGGACACTTGCTTTATTTTCAAACAGGTACGGAAATGAAATCAGGAGCTGGTATTCAAGCAGGTATGGACATGTATGAGCTGGCGGTGAATGTGACTTGTCCCTACACCTGAGGACCTGGAGTCCTCCTCCTGGCGGCTTCCCAGCAGGGCAGGAAGGGGCTTAGGGAGGCTGCAGGGCAGTGACCAGGCACAGACTGAGAGGCTGGAGTGGTCCAAGCTCCACTCTGCCTCTGACCTGCTCTGCAAACCAGCGCTGTGCTCCTGAGCCCCAGCTCCCCACCTCCCAGGGGGCTGAAATGGTGCAGCCACGTTTTGCAGGTGCTGTTATGGGGAAAAAAAGAGGGAGAAACAGAGGTTTGCAGGGTTACTGGCAGATACCAGCTTGTCTCTGCATCCTGGCCCAGTGCTTGCCAGGACCAGCATGGCCGGAGCAGGGCAGGACAGGCTTTTTGTGCAGGTGCTGTGGGATGTGCTGCCCATGGGCCTTCCACATCCTCTGCACCAGAGCAGCACCCATGGGGAAACTGCTTCTCCTCACCTCGCCCTTGTCCTCAGGACACCATTAACCATCTCTGTCACTGCCCCTTTGCAGTCACCATTTTTCTTTTTTTCGCAGCCCAGGGTCACCCCTGGACACTTTCTCCACCCTGTTTCCTGCATGGTTCTCCCTCATCTCCATCACCATCAGTGCCTGCTTCTTGCTGAGCTCTGCATTGTAGATCTCAATTCCCAAAGCCAAGAGTACTCCCAGGGACCCCAAGCTCCTGTCTCCCTAGGAAACCCCCAAAAATCCCACAAGTTACCACCATGAGGCCCTATGGCCACTGTTAAAGGGTAACATGAAGTGGCTCCATAACTCACCTGCCCCAGCTGGGATTAGATAACAATTTTAGAAACCCTTTGCTGACTACTTGGGGAAGATGCTGGTGGAATTACAACTCACACCAGTAAGGATTCATGCCCCTTAGGAAGGCTGGAAATCCCAGGCAGGGGCAGTGATCTTAGATCCAGGACAAAATTTGTGGTCAACACCAGGCCACATCAGTGGACAAGGAGATATAGTTTCCTTATCACCCTTATCACTTCTCAGCTAGGTCACCTGTGTGTCCCCATGATCCAGCAGTATTCACATCCTCCATCTGCGGAGATGAGGAGGGAAGAGGACCCCTCTGCATCCTTTTCTAAATTGATCCCATCCATTTGCAAGGCAGGGGTACAAAGGAGAAAACACACATTGAAGGTGGTGAGAACAGTAGTGGGGACACTCACCCAGCCACCCTGGGGAGCATTATCCCCTCTTTTGGCTTCACAGGAGCCTACGGGGTGCTTAGAAAGAACAGGAGTAGGGATCTAAAGAAACCCTCTGCTTTTTGGGAGAGGGTTTTTGGGATGTGGTTTATCATCCCAGCGATTTGTGGGATTTACCCACAGCTTTGGTGTCCCATGAATAGGAGTGTTGTTCCTGTTAATATAACAGAGATCAGGCACCAACCCTACTCACACCATCAAGTAGGAGCTGTGCTTTGAGGGGCTGAAGGGACTGAGTGGGGAGATAATGAGGCTCTTGGGCTGCAAATCTGACCCTCTCACTATGAATGGGCTTTCAGATCCCCCCCTCCCCACACTTCACGAGCTGCTGTGCAAATCCATCAGCTCTGCTGGCTGGAAGCCCAGCCAGGAACCCACCTGCAAAGTTCTTGTAGGCAGGAGGCCAGCACATCACCCCTGCTCTGCAGCAAGCTCTGCTGCCCCTCTGGCACACAGGCACTGCCCATCTCCATCCATCCAGGCTCTGACCCCTCTCCCAGCCTGCTCTGATGCCATGTTTCTTGATATTATGAACAATCCACCTTCTGCTGCACTTGTTGAGAACTTCATTAACCTGCAGGGCACTAGCGGGAGAAGTTGTTAACCTGCTTTTCTGACTCCCTCCTCTCCTCTCCCTCTCAAGGGAAACTGAGGCACAGAGAGGCCAGGGCTTGCACAGATTGCAGCACGGGCCAGTGTCCGACGGGCAGCCTGTGCTGGGAGCGCCCGCCCCAGGATGAGGGAGCGGGGAAGGAAAGTCCCTTTGACCCCAAAACCCTCCCTGGGCTCCTCACCAAGCTGCTTATCCAGGGGGGTCCCTTGGGGGAAAAGCTGCTTCCTCACCCTTCATCCCAGCTTCATGCTCCTTCTCCTTCCTCTTGCAGAGTCGGTGCCAATGGCCGTGATCATCGGAGTGGCCGTGGGGGCCGGGGTGGCCTTCCTGGTGCTGATGGCCACCATCGTCGCCTTCTGCTGCGCCCGCTCCCAGAGGAGTAAGTGTCTCCCCTGGCCCCACGGTGTCCCTCAGGCAGGGCTGGGGTGGAAATCTGACCCTGGGGGGAGGGGGAATAAAGTAGGTTGCAAAGAAAGCTGAGGCTGAATTTAGATGTGTGGTGTCACTTGGCCAGGACTGGCAGCCCTGCAGGAAGAGGCAAGAGCTTCAGAGCAATACCCAAAACATCCCAGGTCACCTGTGTGTCCCCATAGTGGGGAAATATCCCAGGATCAAACCCCTGTTGGGCACACAGGCAGCATCCAGGGGTGTCCAGAGGACAAAGGGACCTGCTTTTTAACCCCCCTTGGAACAATCCTGATGCCCAAGAGCGAGAAGCATCCTCACCGTTTCACTTGGGTGCTCAAAACCCTTCCTCAGTGCCTACTCCGTGTTCTGCTTCTGGATTAAGTCATTTTATCAGTGTAAAATGCAGATTTCCAAGTGGGAAATTGCAGCCAGAGGGGTTTTACATGGGACGTGTGGGTTTTAAAGACTGGCTGCTGTGGTGGTACAAGTTAAAGCAACGTTAGAGAAGCAGGTAGAGGAGAAGGAACAATAAAGAGTGTAGCATCACATTGCCTCATTAAAAAGACACCAGGAAATGAAAGGCAGATGTTTCCTATATGAAAAGCCATCAAACCAGGAGGGAGAAGAGCAGGCTTGTTTGGGGCATCTCAGGCCACAGGGGGGAAGGGGAGACACTCATGCTCCCGGCGAGGTACGGCTGCCACCGCGCCAAGCCCTGTGTGTGTGTGCCAGGAAACACAGACACTTTTCTGCTTATTTTCCTCCCTCTTTCTCTTGATCATTTGCAAAGGGATCAAAGACTCCAAGCTCCTCCTGGGTCTGGGGATGAATGCACAGCCTCCCGAGGCAGATGTGTTTAATTTTAAGAATCATAATGATGCCTCTCCCTGATTTATCCTTTTTTTTTTTTTAACTCCTGCAGCTTCCATTAGCAAGTATTAACAAATTAAGGGGGGCAGTCATTCATCTTGCTGTTGGGGAAGGAGTTGCTGATGGACAGGACCCAAGACCAGGCCAATTCAAGGTTGCAGAGATAATTCACCTTCAGAGCAGGGGAGAGCACATGGTTTGTTCTTTTATTTGATGTCACCAGGTGTTGTTGGGTCCTCTACAGGACACATGATTTAACATTCATGTCATGACAACAGATTGAAGACGTGGTGCAAGTGCCAGGTTTTGGAGACCCTCATGGGCTGGAGGTGTGCAGAAGATAGGGATGTCTTTGGAGGAAAAAACAGGGCCAGGAAGATCCCATCCAAAAGCCTCATGTGATTCATCTCTTGGATTCCCAGGCATTTTCCTTCCTCGGGATGGGAGGATACATACTGGGAAGAGGGTACTGGAGATGTGGTGGCACAGCAGTGACTGGGGTCCCTTTCCTCCACTGTTTCCAGTGCTGTCCCACTTTGAAAGGACTTTTGAGTTTCCTGCATGCAACGAGCTGCAGGGGCTGGGCTGGGCAATGGGCTGCTGGATCTTCCCAGTGTCCTCCTCACTCTGCTGTGGTTCCTCAGCCCCTCTCCACTGTGAGAGTTCCTGGTTGCCATGTCCTGAGTACATGTTGGTAACATCCCCAGAGCAGAGCACAGGCCTCAGAGCTTCTCACAGGGCTTTGCTACTTTGCTTTGGGATCAGAGCAAAGGAGCAGGAAGTGATGATCCAAGAGACCAGCAAAGATCCCCTCCCCAGTTCTTTTCCATTCCCAAAGGAAAACAGGGGGAGAAACAGCTCAGCCCTTCCTGGTGAGCTGGACCCAACTGGGATGCCAGGGCTGTTGCTGGAGAGGAGTGGGATGCCTTGGTGCTAACCCAGCAAATCCCCCATCCTGTGGCTCCAAAAGCCACTTGGAGCTGCCAAAATGAGGCCCCTGCTTGGTTTTGGGGGGAGCATCAGCAGCTAAACCAACCCTCGGGTAACACTGGTGGAGGAAAACCCCACAGGGAGGACTAGACTGTCCCAGGGCAAAGGGCGTTTAGCCCAGTTTTGCAGGTGCAAACTGGATGCTGTGGCCACCATCTCCTGCAGCAGGTGAGTGTTAGGAGGGTAGAAACACCAAGAAGGTCAGGAAAGGATTTTCTCCCAGACAGTAGTGTGAAATCAGCAGAGGTATTCCAGAGATGGACTCAGGAGTGATGGGCCCAGCAGAGCACTTGAGTACCACGAGGGACTAATTTCCTACCAGGATGACTGCTGATGCCTCTCCCAGGACAAATGCTGATGTATTGGTGCATCATTTAAACCAACAGCCTGCAAACAAACCCCCCTGTCAGGCTGTGGGGATGGCTCACAGCAGAGGGAACAAGGTGACCCAGCCAGAACTCTGTAGAAGACATCTCCTGATGGCTGCCACTGACAGCAGCTGATGGCACCTTGGGAAGCAATTCCTGGCCCTGCCCTGGGAAGATGCAGCAAAAAAACCTACAAGATACAGACACCCCGAGCCTGGAGGCTCTGGAAAATGGGGGAAAAAAAAGACTTTACTGCACATCTGTTGTTGTATCTTCAGTGACTTAATGGCCCAGAGTTATTTAAGGGAGAACACTCCTGGGAGAGGATGTGCAAGACAGTAATTAGCTTCTCCTTGTGATTAGAGATGGAGGCTCCAGTGCCAGCAACATGATCCCTGCAGGAGAAAAAAAAAAACAACAAATACAACAAAACAAAACAAAAAAACCAAACCAAAACAAAACAACAAAAAAAACGTAGTCAGGTCCCAGCAAAACCCTCTGCCTTGAACTGCTGAGATAGAGCAGTTCAAGGATGGAGCTTCAAGCTGGTCTCAGTTGTGTGACCCAGTCTGGGTTACAGATAAAATCACTGTCCCATCGGGTCCAACAGAGTTGATGGAGCTGGAGCAGTCCTGGCTTGGCCAAGCACTGCCAGTTCTTCTGACTGGAGGTGGATCTGAGGAGCCCAGGAGTTTGAGGCAGTTTTGGCACCAGGAGGGTTGGCAAAGCCACCCAGGGAGCCGCGAGCCAGGTCGTGGGCTGCACTCCAGCTTCAAAACTGGGAGCTGTTTAGATCTTGCCGGGGAGATTTGCATCCATCTCTGCTTTTCATCTTGGCTTTGCCTGGTGTCATGGTTTGGGCCCAACACAACAACCAAGAACAGCTCCATGGCCACTCACTCAACTCCCCACACACACACACTCGGATGAGGAGGATAAAGCTCATGGGTTGAGATCAAGGACAAGGAGGGTTCTTCACTGATTAAGGTCCCAGGCAAAACAGACTCAGCTTGGGGAAAAAATAATCATTTCACATTAATCACACACACACAGGACACAGACACACACAGAGCAGGGCTTGCATATGTTAACCCCCTCCCTTCTTCCCGGGCCCAAATCCCTTCGTTCCTGGCTTCTCTCCCTCCTTCCCCCCAGCAGCACAGGGGATGGGGATGGGGTTTAGAGTCACTGCACAGGCTGGTGGTTCCTGCTGCTCCTTCCTCCTTAGGAAGGAGGATTCCTCACAGTCCTGCCCTGCTCCCCACGGGTCCCTCCCATGGCAGATTCTCCACCAGCCTCTCCTCCAGGAGCCCTTCCCACCAGCCCGGAGCTGCTCCAGCGCTGCCCGCAGAGTCACGGGGGCTTTGGGAACAGGCACCTCCTCTGGCCCGGGGGCTCCCACAGCTGAGCAATCAGAGTCCACTGGCAGGAAACCCTCTGGCCACAAAATCCAAGACCAGTGGCCAAGTTCACCCCTCCTGGCACCTTCAGGGAATGTTCCATCACGTTCCTCCATGGATGCAGGGGCAGAGCTGCCATCTCACCATGGTTTGCAGGGAAACTTCTGATTGGGCACCTTCTTCCTCACCAACCACCAGCACAGCTCTTCTCCTCCAGCACAGCTCTTCTCCCCTAAGTGCTCCTCTGCTCCGATTTTATAGCTGTTCTTCCGTATGTTAATCACGGGAGGCGCATCTGTTGTCCCTCTAATGGCTCTTTGGCTGGTTTGGGGGCAGGGGGAGCTTCTCAGCTTCTTACTGGAGCCACCCTTGGGGCCCTTCCCTGCTACCAAAAACCCACCAAAACAAACCAGAGCATCTGGCTGCTCCTGCTTCTTGCCTTCTTTGACTTGATTTTGCTAAAACGACTTCTTCAGAGCATGCCTGACACCTTCAGGGAAGGCAGAGTCTCTCCAGAAATACTGGTGTGTGCAAACAAGCTGCTGAGAGCAGCAACCAGGGATGGGTTGGTCATTCCCAAAGCCCTGGCTACATTGTCGTTCATTGTGAGGCCTTTTCCATATCCAGCAGGACCCCAAACCTGGAAAAGGCTTTTCTTAGGGGCTTCCCAGCACTGGAGAAGAGCTGGTGTATCCTGGGCAGTGTTTTTCATCTGGCCAGACAACCCACCATCTGTGTGAGCAGCCCTGCAGCAGCCCAGCCCCTCCTCACAGCACTGGGAGCTGAATCCAGCTCCTGAACGGATGAAACCAGGGAGATGAGCTCCCCAGAGGGGAAGGTTTCACATCCCCAAACCTTATGGCAACACAAACCCTGTTCTCCCAGTTCTCAGATGTGTTTGCTGAGCTGGGGTTTAGTTTTTTTCTCAGTGCTGGCATCCTCAGGAGTCAGCCAAGGATTGATCCAGGGGCTGAAGCAGCTCTGCTCTGGAGACAGGCTGAGGGAGCTGGGGCTGTTCAGCCTGGAGAAGAGAAGGCTCCAGGGAGACCTTAGAGCAGCTTCCAGTGCCTGAAGGGGCTCCAGGAAAGCTGGGGAGGGACTTGGGACAAGGGCAGGGAGGGAGAGGACAAGGGGGAAGGGGTGAAAACTGGAAGAGGGAGATTGAGGTGAGAGATGAGGAGGAAGAAATTACTGAGTTTGAAGGTGGTGCCCAGGTTGCCCAGGGAAGCTGTGGCTTCCCCATTTCTGGCAGTGTTGAAGGGCAGGTTGGATGGGGCTTGGAGCAGCCTGGGCTGGTGGGAGGTGTCCCTGCCCATGCAGAGGGTAATAACTAGATGATCTTTAAGGTCCCTTCCAAGCCAGACCAGTCTGGGATTCTGTGATCACTAAGGATGCTCTGTGCTTACCTTTGACTAACCTTTCACTGACCTCTTCCCCATCTTGTTCCTTGCCCAGATCTGAAAGGTGTGGTTTCTGCCAAGAATGATATCCGGGTGGAGATCGTGCACAAGGAGCCGGCCTCGGGCAGGGAGACAGAGGAGCACCCAACCATCAAGCAGCTGATGGTAAGGATTTCCTTCCTCCCTCCCTTAACTGATGACTGGGTAAGTGTGTGATGCTCCCAGGCATGTGGAGCTTCATGTCATAATCCCCACTCAAGGCAAAGATGCTCCTGAGCTCCACGTTCTCCTGCCATAAAAGCTCTTTGAGGGAAACTTTGCTAAGGAGGAGGGAGAGCTGGGAGAAGTTTATTGCAACTTTACCACCCTGTGTGGAGAAGGAGCTGCCAATTGCAAGTAGGTGATCACAGCACCATAATAAGCTTAATTAGCCAGTGAGAATAGAGTTAGACGTGCAAAAATAGTATGTATGCAGATTGGTAACACCAGGTGTGTGGGGAGTGCCTGGATCTGGGGTAACCTGGGAGGTGACACCTTCCAGAGGCAGCTGCTGTCACCCAAGGGGACCAAAGGACCCGGGCAGGGTGAGATGCTGATGGTTGAGATCCCTGGAAGTTCAGCTGCAGCACATGGACCAGCACATCCTCTCCCTGCTGCTGCTGCTCCTGCATCCCTGTCTCAGCCCCAATTTCCCTTTGGTTTTCCTTGCTGGTGTCACATTGTAGGTGACAAATAGAAGCCAAACAAATGGCAAAGAAAGGACTTAAAAGGTGAGAGAACAGAGCAGAGAGGAAAGTGAGAAGGGATTGGAGTCTGCGGATCCACGGCAGGATTTGCACGGGTTCAGTCAGTGGAGGACAGAGGGGGCTGGGACTGGGGTTGGGAGCAACCTGCTGAGGTGAAGGGGAGTGAGGAGCTTCCTCTCCATAGCCCTGTACCACCAGCTCCATAGACAATGATACCAGCACCTAGCCCAGATCTGACTTCAAAAGGAGGGGCTGAATCGGCCTCAGCGGCACTAAGGACCTTTACCACCACACTGGACAGAGGGAGCTTCAGCAGAGGAGACATACAAGGAAAAGGTGATTTAACAGCAACATGTGCCCTGAGGAGGCTGGTCCCAGAGCTGTGCTGTGTTGAGAAGGAGGATGCTGCTGGTGCAGAGAAAAATTACAATATTTATTAGATAACTCAGAAAAAAATGCCATGTAGGGAGAGGTGTACAGAGCTCAAGTGTTGTAGTTTCTCAGCAATACTTCTGGGAGGTGGTTTGGCTACCACATGGTGTCAAGGGGCTATTTAAGTGCCAACACGATAGGTAAAGTCAAGGGCTTTGGGACACATGACAGTGTAACAGCCTGGCTGCTGAGCCAGGAGCAGGTGATGCTCCCCCTCTTCTGGCCAAATCCTGAAGGTGCATCAGTTAGAATTAACATCGGTGGATCAAGGCTGTTCAAGGGGTTGGAAGAGACAGTCTCTGACCCTGAGTGGATTTGGCACCACTAGGACATCTTACCTGGCCAGGAGAAGATACCAAAGCCCTTCCCTGCCTTCCCATCCTCACCTGCACTTGGCAAGAGCATTCCCAGCAAATGCTTCTCAATTTCCTCTCCCCAGGAACTCTGCTCTCTCATCCCCCTCCATTCTGTTTCCAGCAGCCAGTGGGAGCATCGGAGGATGTCCCAGGCATCCTGGAATTCCAGGATACTCTCCCTTCCAGGCAGGCTTTGGGTGCTTCACAGCTCCTAACAATAGGCTCCACGTTTGTCAACAAAATGATGGAGCCAGTTTAACAAGTTAATCCTTGCTAATGAGCAGTGATGAGGCCTCTCCAGCAGGAGCAGGGGGCCATGCCCAGCACCCCTTGCTTGCTCACTACACTCATCCCAAGACTTCCCTGCAGCATCATTTCTCCCACTTCTTCTTTGCTTGCCTTCCATGACCTCACTCCAGCCCAGACTCAACCTCAACAGCGTCCTTTGAAATTCTCTCCTGGCCCTCAGCACTGTTCCCACCACCCTGCAGTTTAATAGCAACTGTGACATTCATTAAGGCTCTGGGTGCTGGGGATCATTAACACCAATGTTAACGAGAAGCAGGCTGTGCTGGAGAGCAGCTCCAGCAGCTCTTTCATTCCCCATCCCAGACCTGTGGCTGAGCCCCTGAGGTCCAGCAGGGCCCAGCCTGCTCCTGCCAAGCTTGAGGAGGGAGATCCACCCTCCCCACCACTGATGGGACATTTCTGCTCCACCTCCTCTCATGGCTTGGCTTTTCCAGGGTGGTTTTGGCTGCAAAGTACTGGTGTGACTCTTCTTGCCACTCCCCTAAAATGCAAAATGTGTTTGTTATTCTGCAGCCATCTGTGACCTCCCCAGCTCTCCCTGCTTTTTTCAAAAATCATTATTCATGCATCTATAAACTCATTAACACCTGAGGAGACACATCACACTGTCCAATTTGCAAATGTTCACACTGGCACAGGCCGGCTCCTCTCCCCTCCTGCTTCTTTTGCCAGAGGGGCCTGGAAGCAAAGAGCAGCCTGGGGCAAAAGAGTCTGGGAAACGGTTTGATCCTAGAGAAAAAATTGCCTAGAGTAGCTTTCTCTCTCCTGCCAGGCATCAGTGCACCCATTCAGCTGAGCCTGGGCCATGATTTGGGGTTTGAAGAGCAGCATCATCTCTGGTGGGGCATAACCTCTTCTGGTATTTATCCTTGGGTTTCATTGCTGGCTGGACTCTGTGCCTCAGTTTCCCCATCTGTGAAATGGGACTGATGGTTCTAAAGAATCAACGCCCACTACCAGGAGCAATAGTGCTAGAGATGATCCCAACATGACCAGGAGGCAAAAGCAGCCCAAGAAGATGACTCTGGGGTGGACCCAGGTGTCACCTTTGGTTCCTGTTTGGAGCAAAATAGTCAAAATAGCCCATCCAGTGGACAAATTGATTATCTTTTCCTTGCTTTCCTGCCCCTATTCTGAAACCCATCCCTCTGCTTCGAGGGATGTTTCCAGTTTGGTCACAGCCCACAGATCATCACCAGTGGCTTTTGTGCTGCTCAGCTCCCCATGGAAGAGGACAAATCCAAAAAGCAGAGGTAAAAACAACCACACAACTACCAGCAAAGCCTTGGTTGCCTTTGTAGCCTGTGGCTGGGGCTGCACAGGGTTTGGACATGGACATTTTTTTATTTGTGACCTTGTTTCTTGGGTGGTGCCCATAGGGAGCAGAGGTGCCATTTGGGCAATCTTGTTAACCTCCCTCACCCAAAGCACCACCAAGTGGTGTCCAATTAACCAATGAGTGGGAGAAGTTCTAATTAAAGCCGGTGCTGGGAGGGGGCAGCTCCCTGAAGCCAGGGCTGGGTGGATGCTCATGGACCAAGCCTGGAATCTGGAGGGAGCAACATTTTAAAAAACCATATTGTCTCCACTAATGAAAGCCAGGAATTTCATCTCCCATCTGTCGGATCTGACATCCCAGCTGTGAGTGGCTGAGCTTGGCACCGTTATGTGAGGATTAGGAGGCACAGCCCTGGAGTTGGGCACTGCTTCCACAATTCCATTGTGATTCCCCTGCTCTGAGTGACCTTGAGCTGCTGCTGAGCTTGGCAGGGCTGCAGAGACTGATGGGACACAGCTCTCTAAGGACTTTTTTAGCAAGGGAAACTGAGGCATGACATTCTTACAGATGCAGTTTTCATGTCGGGTGCCAGCAAGGTTTAGATATGGGCAACTGGTCCTGGGATTAAATCTTGGCATAACATTCCCACGATCTGGCTGGGACTGGTGGGCTCTGCTGGGCACCTTTAGCAGCTTCCATCTGCACAGCTGCTGTGCCAGAAACATCTTGCTGCTGTAGACATGGAGGGCTTTGGAAGAAAGGCCGGTGCAGGATTCTGGACCATCCCCTGCCAGCATCCAGGAGCTCATGACTGTGCAGTTGGATCTTTCTTCTGGTCTTTTTTCCATGGATTTTCCTCCTCCTACTGCCTCTGCAGCCATAATCCCCATTAATAGTGATAATGATGTTCACTTCCATTAACTTCCCATGAAACCCACTGACTGCAGCCGAAGCCACGACATCCTGGGGGTCCCACAGAGCATCCCACTGCCTGGATCACTGCACCATGGAATGGTTTAAAATACCCCATCAAACCTAGCTTGTTAATTCAAGGGAGGTTTGGCCACTAGCAGGACTGTCCCCTTGGGTCTCACCTGTTCTTGTCTTTTGATCTGGCCCTGCCCACTGGAGTCATCCACATCAAAACCCAATCAAGCCCAAGGAGAACCAGTTCCAGCTTCTTTTTTTCTTCCCAAGGACCCCTCAAACCCTTTGCAGGGTGTTTTTGTGGCTGCCTCCCCAGTGCTGCTCTGGGGGATGTGGGGCACCCCTTGTGTGATGCTTTGGGGGATTTGGGCGTGTGGCTGGGGCTGGCAGAGCACAAACTCCCCACGCACCATTACAGCTGAACTTCACCCTTGGTGACACTTGTATTTACCCTGATAAATCAAGGGCTGTTACAGGTTTGTTGTTTTTTTTTCCCTAGGAAAACTCAGGTACTTTAATTTATTGCATTTAATAGCTGTATCAAAGGCTTTCAGGAGATGAACAAAAAGTGCTGCAGGGTGAATTTCCACAACCACTTACCTTTTTGTAAAGGAAAAGAGAAGTTGGGCAATAAAAGGTGATCTTTTTTTTGAGGGGGTTTGCAGTTTGAAGCTGTGATGCCAGAAGGGAAACTGGGCTGGAGACACAGGATCGATACAGGAGCGGAAAAATGACAACTGAGACACTGGATGTTAATTATTCTGTGTCTGCAACCCCCCCCACACCCTGTTGAAGGAAGGGTAATTAATGCTGTGCTCTAATTACTGTGCACCTTGCCCCCCCCGATGGTGGCTAGGCTTCAAAGGAAAATTAATGAGGCTGAGAGAGATGGGTGAAGGCAGCACATCAGGGCAGCAGGATCATCTCCAGGGGTCTGTGGGGAGGAAAACTGGACTGGAATGGAACCACAAGGAGCTTCTCCAGCCTGAACATCCCCTCCCGACCCATGGAGTTGGCAGGGCCGAGGGGGTAAAGCCTCCAGGACTCAGATCTTTGGAGAAGAGGCAGCATCAAGGGGGGAAAAATATAAAATTAAGGTTAATTACAGTATTGTGGTAATGGAAGGCAGGCAGGAAGGAACGAAGATTTTAGGGACTGGGTTTGAGCAGGTGGAAGCAGCAATTTGCAGCCCTGACACTTGCCATGGGAGACAAATAATTGCTTTCCCACTGCAGCTGGGCTATTTTAGACCTGAAGAGAGGGGGGAAAACCAACCTGCAGCCCAGGAAATTGTGTGGATTTGGGGAGCTGCCCAGTTCCTCTGCCTTCGGACACTGCTCCCCCAGGATGCCTCTGGGAAAGTCCCTTAATCTGACATGGTCATTCTGTCGGGATGGGGGGAGCTGATGGCAGCTGTGGGGCCACCCAGCCCCAGGGTGTGGAGACAGCAGGTGCCTGGGGATGCTGACATCCACCCCTCTCCTTTCCTAGATGGACCGGGGGGAATTCCAGCAGGACTCAGTGCTGAAGCAGCTAGAGGTGCTCAAAGAAGAGGAGAAGGAGTTTCAAAACCTGAAGGTGAGCCAGGCCCTGGTGGCATGGCCCCTGCCAGACCCTGGCGACACAGTCCCTGCCATCCCCAGCCCCACAGGCAATTGGGACCCAAAACCTCTCCTGCCTCAGGTCACTCCTGCAAGGGGCTGCAGCGCGTGGCTGAGGCAGTCAAGGTGCTGAGCAGCCTTCCCTGGGCCGTGTCTCTTGATGTCACCAAGAGTGGGTGCCTCTGTAGGGAGAGGGATGCTCTGGTACCACCTGCTGCTGTTTCCTGGTCCCAGTACCTTTGGGGTAGGGATAACAGCAGGGGTGTGCCAGGGAGCGCAGTGCAAGGGGCACCCCAGCCCCCTCTGCCCTGGTTTGGAGGGGGATGAGCACGTTGGTGGGACAAGAGGGTGCTCCCCTCCCTGGTGCTGTGAGCAGGAGGGGTGGGTGGTTGTGGTTGTCCCTCACAGGTGAGCGGGCACCACCAACCACCTCCCAACCTTTCCCACCCCCACAGGACCCCACCAACGGCTACTACAGCGTGAACACCTTCAAGGAGCACCACTCCACACCCACCATCTCGCTGTCAGGCTGCCCCGGGGACCTGCGCCCGGCCGGCAAGCAGCGGGTGCCCACGGGCATGTCCTTCACCAACATCTACAGCACCCTGAGCGGGCAGAGCCGCCTCTACGACTACAGCCAGCGCTTCGCCC